GGCCATCAGTACGTCACACAGAGCCTCCAGTCATGCAGAAAGCTGCAGTGGGGCACGGACGCGGTGAGGAAGGCGGGGGAGCCTCGTCGCTAGTTTCAACGCTGTCCCCCCCCCCTCCCCCCGCCCGGAGACTCACACGCCTGTCCCCGCGTTGACGATAAACAGCCATGGTGTCCGAACCGACTACCCCTGGGATCAGAATGGAAAGCAGTGCACAGCGAGATCCTAGCTACCCCCACCCCCTTTCCTGCCGGAATCCTGCGGGACGCGGGCGAGTACGTCAAGTAGACCCTCCCCTCCGGTCATGCAGAAAGCTGCAGTGGGGCGCGGCGCGGACGCGCAGAGGAGTGCAGCTGCCGCTCTGCCGTGTCTGTGCACCTGAAGTGCCTCACCGAGGTCGGGCCCCAGCAGCTCGTCCCATGCTGTGCTAACTCGACCTAAACGGGGCTGATGGCGCGGCGGCCGTGCGCACCACCAGGAGCACGCCGCCGCACGTGTGTGGCGACGGGTTCAGGTAGAGGGCATTCCGGGCCGGAGCCGCGTCCGGCGTGGCGGGTGTCCTCGGCATCGGCTCGTGTGGCGTTCAGGTTGTACTCGTGCTCGATGCACAGGGCCTCCGCGCGGTCCAGGCCCGACCAGGGTAACGCCTCGACCAGGTCGCCGCCAACGGGGAAGCGACTCGAGGACCAGGCTGACGTCCCGCACGCGGGCCGACGGGTCACTCCACGTAGAAATTGGGCTCGACCCGCCGCAGACGGCCGAGCGTCTCCTGGTTGCGGAGCTCGAGCGCTCCCGGCCCGGACAGCGCGGAGGGCCTACGTCAGGTCACGAACCACATTCGCCACAGCACGGCAGCTGCCCAACCTCCAGTGTCATACTGAAGCCGCTGAAACCTGTGTACGTACACCTGGATCAGCTCGAGGTCCACGGCGATACCCTTGCCGCTGGCCTAGCCGGCGAGCGGTGGCGTAGGGGCCGGGGAGCTCGGGCGCCAGGAGCGTGATGTACCAGGTGGCTGATTCGAGCCGCGCACTTTCGGATTTATACTGTACCGCATACACGGGTGCGGGCGGCTTGCCTACTCGCACGGGGCCACAAGGAGCCGTGGGCAACGACGATAGGCAAGCCCGCCCGCACCAGTGCATGCGGTACAGTATAACTAAGAAGACGCGCGACGTGAGTCAGCCACCTGGTACAGGGTGGGGTACCTCGCCGGTTGTCCGCCAGGCCCGGATGCATCTCAGTAGGCGGGCTTATCCCCACCGTCTCGCATCCGTCCCCGTCGCGGGGCATTCAGCCCGTCGCCCGGCTGCCTCCAGGACGTCAACTACCTCACCATACCACCCACGACG